TATGAAAACACCAGGGCTGTGCTTCTGCATGTCTTCACTACATTTACAATACTCTTTTTTAAAAAGCATCTGAAAGTCTACAGTACACGACTATTATTTAGGTGTTTAATGGAGATCCTACTAGCCAAAAAAAGAATTATTTCTGTATATCTACGATACAAAACACATTTATGCAGATTTCTTTCCAACTCAAATTTAACAAGTTAGTTGTGTTAAGGTTCTAAATTAGTTAATAAAGGCAGAAATTCTCAAAATTAAACTTTTATTCCTGCTTTTAATGTGACATATTCACAAAATGGCCCAGATATATTTTTCGGGGGTTCCTATCAATAATTAGTGTGGTCCCGACGGCAAGCTGCAGCTTACGACCTGTTTGGATCAGTCACTTATCTTCCAGCAAATCAAAGTAAAAAATAAAACGCTGTAAGAGACACTGCAGGTTAACATGCTTCACACCCTAGTAACGCTGCTGAACGCTACCGATCCCCCAGGGGAATATGTATTTCTCAAGGAGAAAGCGGGAAACCACAGTGACTGAGCTGCCCTACCTTCCTCCTGGCTGGAGGTCCCGATGCAGAGAGACAGGCCAGCCCTGCAGCTCAGCGCTTCCCATCCCGGAGCCCCTGTGAAGGGCAGCAGAGGGCGGCGAGAGCTGCAGGTACAAGCCCATCCCACCCGGAAGCCCCACTTCCGGCTGCACCTGGAGCCGCGCGGCTCCGCGCTGATTGGACACGCGTGGGCGCACCGTCACTGCGGGGAGACACTGGCCCAGCAAGCCAATAAAAACACGCTGTACCCCTCATTGCCCCCGTAAACAAAACAAACAAACAAACAAACAAACAAACAATTAATTGTATCTCCTTATTTATCGTCTGGGTAGGCCTGTTTCTCTTTCTTTTGCTAAAACGTTACTTTAACTGGCAAAAGAGGAATTTCACTTTTTTTTTCTCGATATCTAAAATACACGGACATCAAGACATCACTGAATTACTTTAACATGAAATTATTATTTTTTTCTGTTCTTTCTCAAAAGTCCACCTTGGCACCTTGGGGAAACGGCTCTATGAAATTGTATATTCAATACTAGGCTACCAATCGAGCAACATGAACTGGACGGTCCCTCTTGTCTGCGGACCTTTCTTCCGTTCTGTGTTCTTATGTACACAGGACATGCACGTCTCGTCAGGCTGGACAACATGTTTA